TGAATGCCCTGGACTGCAAAATTTTTTGAACTACAAGGTAGGTGGTTCAAACTCACCACCTGCTCCTAGGAAACCCTATGAAGTGTCGCTATGGATTGAAAACATGACTTGACAACACTTAACAACAACCACAACATATAACAGCTGGTGTATTTGAACCACCACCTTGTGGTTCAAACCAGGCTTGCGATCCAGTGCTTATCCTAGAATTGCTTATCCCACAGCACCAAATCTAAAAGAATGGGGTAAAAACAGGATATATCTAAGTTCCTAATTGATTATTAAAAGGAAAAGAGTCTGTCTTTTGAAATTGAAGGAGTTAATTTTCCCCAGCATCTCCTCTCCTTTCATTATACTTCAGTGTTGCTTAGAGGTATAAACCATTGCACTGTTTTAAATAGGATTTCATTTATTTAAATTTTTCCATTTAGTCTTGTTTCACTTGGAGAATTTATATGCCATGGGAGCAGAATACATTGCTTTTCTGAAGCCCCTGTTTGGGTTACAAATAGACAGTGAAATATCTAGTTTTATCTATTTAGGCAAATAGATAGTCATTAGGACCCGTTTGTATATTCTGACTAATTGTACCATGTTTCAACAATCACTGAAGTCAGCCAGAAAAAGTTATATATTTTTTTGAAGCAGGAATTCTTTTCCTTTCATCTTCAAAATACTAATTTGATAACTAACCTTGCCCCTACTATAATAATATACAAATCTTCACAACATCATAAATGGAGAAAATCTTGACGTGTCAAGGAGTTCATTTTACTTGGACATTTACCTACAATCAGTGTCCCTTGAAACAGCAGCCAAGAAAGAAAATGGCATGTTACATTGGGCAAATTTGCTGCAAAAGATCTCCTAAATTGCTAAAAAGTAAAGGTGTCACATTGAGGACTAAGGTGTACCTGACCCAGTCCTTGAGACTGTCATCACCTCATATGCATGTAAAAGCTGGACAACAAATAAGGAAAATTGAAGAAGAATTGATACCTTTTAATTAACGGTAAAGAGTATTGTGTATACCATGGACTGTCGGAAGCAGGAACAAATCTGCCTTGAAAGACGTATAGCCAGAATACTTCTTAGAAATGACGATGATGAGACTTTGCTACACATACTTTGGACATATTATCACAAAGGAACAGTTTCTAGGAAGGACGTTATTGTTAAAGTAGAGGATCAGCAATAAAGAGGAAGAGCCTCAAATAACGAATCGGCACAGTGGATGCAATAATGGACTCAAACGTAGGAAAAATTGTCTAAGGCTGGTACAGGCCCAGGCAGTGTTTTGTTCTGTTGTACATAAAGTTGATATTGTTGGAACCAATAGGAAAGCACCTCAGAGCAACAACAATGTTTGCACAAATTTACTATTGTATAACTTTTTCTCAACCATGAAAATATTGATTCAAGTAGGTGGGAAGCTATATATTACAGTGGTTAATATCGCTGATTCTGGTGTGAAACTACATTGCATAGGATAAATCTGCTACAAAAGATCTCTTTATATTATTAAAAAAGCAAAGATGTCACTTTGAGGACTAAGGTGTGCCTTACCCAAGACACGTTTGCTGTGAGCCAGAACTGACTCCATGACACTTAACAACCCTGGTGCATACCTTTCCTGATTTGAAATTATTCAGTGTTCCCTTGTTCGGTTCAAACTGTTCTATTCAGATTGCCTCTTTCTATGTACAGGTTCTTCATGAGCAAAATGAATTGTTATTGAATTCTCATTATTCACAGTGTTGCCCATAGCTTGTCATGATCCTCGCAGTCAAAAGCCTTTGCATAGTCGATATAACACAGGTAAACATCTTTCATGTATTCTTTGGCTTTTAGCCAAGATTCATTTCAAATCAGCAATGATATTCCCTATTCTACATCCTCATCCTCATCTGAGCTGAGTCTCTGGCACTTCCCTGTCAATATATAGCTGCAGCCATTTTTTATTTAATCTTTAGCAGAATTATACTTGAATGTGGTATTAATGGTATTGTCCCATGATTCCTGCATTTGGTTGAGTCATGTCTCTTTGGAATGGGCACAAATATAAATCTCTTCCAATCAGTTAGCTGTCTTCCAAATTTCTTGCAATATGTAAGTGAGCTCTTCCAGTGCTGCATCAGTTTGTATGAGATTTCAATTTGTATTCTATCAATTCCTGGAGCCTTGTTCTTTGTCAATGTCTTCAATGCACCTTGGACTTCTTCTTTCAGTACCATTGGCTCTTGATTATATGCTACCTCTTGAACATCAACCATTTGTTTTTTAGTATAATGCCTTTGTTTTCTTTGTATCTTATTTGATGCTTTCTGCATCATTCTATATTTTGCAGAAAGAATTTTTGAGTATTGCAAGTCAATGCTTAAATTCTTTCCTCAGTTCTTTCAGCTTGACAGTTGTTGAGCATGTTCTTCCCTTTTGGCTTCCTAATTCAAGATCTTTGCACATTTCATTATGGTATTTGATTTTGTTTTCTCGAGCTGCCCTTTGAAATCTTCTGTAAGGTCTTTTACCTCTCCACTCCAAGTATTACTAATCCTTGTTTAGTTTATTAATTGTTGTAGTTGTTAAGTGCCATCGAGTAGTTCTGTCTCATAGCGACCCTGTATAGGCTTTCCAAGACTGTAAATCTTTGGGAGGCAGAAAGCCTTATCTTTCTCCCACAAAGCAGCTGATGGGTTAGAACTTCTGGCCTTGTGGTTTTCAGTCCAATGCTTGTCCTACATAGCCACCACTTTTCCTCAGTGTAACTAGGCATGTGCATTAAAATCAAAACAAATTAAAACAAATGCTGTTTTATCATTTATAAGTGTTGGTTGCATATCAAGAGAGATAGATGACTAGTTCTTACCTTAATAATTTCTTTCATTGTTTCATTTCTCCTTTCATACTTATTCATTATCACCCATTGGTGCTGGGAAATCATGATATAGAGCAGTTCATCCACAAAATCAAGGTTTCCTCATTGGTTTTATTGAGGAGATTTATAACTTCTTTATTTTTTTATTTTTTATCATATTATCGTGACATTAGACCACTTATTCTGCCAGCATCATTATTCCTTGTTCCTGAGTTGATTGAATTATTTAAATTTAATCATTCATTCCTCTTTATGCTAGCCTGATCCTCAGCTCTTCAGCAGTACCCTCCATTGTACTTGTTCCTAGAAATGCTGGCTCCTATGTTTTTGTTCCATTAAAAGCCTTCTGATGGTTATACTGGCTTATATTCAATAATCAGTTTATCCACTCATACCAGTGATATTATTATATCAGCCAAAGTCATGAACATTTTATTAGGTTATAATAAAACATTTTTCACAAGAACAATTGCATTCAGAAGTACAATAGTCATTAATTCATAATATTTCAAATTTCAAGGGCTTAAAAAAATAGAAGAATTATACCTTTTACATTTCTCTTAAAATAGAATTAAAATTTTTCTTTTCCAGGCATATTCAGCTAGAATTGGAACTAATTTCCTAGGAGAATAATTTTAATCATATTGTTTGTTCTTGACTTAATCTGACACAATTAAATTTTGCCTTCATACTTTATGCCTAGGAGAATAGAAACTCTCCAGAACAGTGTGAAAGAAATTGGAGTTTAATGCTTTCCAGATGAAGAAAGAAAAATTCGTATCCTGTATATATTTTGTCTATATTTATTTTGGCTTTCACCACTGGGAAGCATATCCATATATAAAATTCAAATTTGTTTCCCAAGACCATTTTCATCTACATTAACAGTGAATAAACTATCAAAGTTATAATCAAACAATATACAAGTTGTATGAGTCTTGGGTGTCTTTCTACTAACTCAGGGGAAATTGAGTTTTGGGGATTGATAAGGCAAATAACAGTCACTGTAGAATGACTCAGATACTCTATGTTATGCATCTTAATTTTATTGAGATTTTGAAGTTATATTTTACTCTGGAATATTATGTGTTAAGATGTCAAGAAGATGGCCAAGAGGAAGTTACAGAGGTTTTAGGTATGGGAAGTCAGAAAGGGAAATTTAGGTTTAAGGTAAATTATGGAATTTTAATTTACCAGAAATGAAAAGTATTGTTTCTCATTATATTAAACTAGGGTAGTTAATGTAGTTTTGAGTCTTTCCTTACTTTAACTTTTGGTTGTTACCTAATTTTCACATTAGTTACGTGTGTGAGTGAAATACACTGATTCTTCTCTTAGCTCTCTTTAAGAAGATTTAATCATTATATAATGTCAAACAGTGGTGGTGGTGGTGATGTGCATTGGAATCTGTACAGGATTTCTGAGGCTCAAAACCTTTACGGGAGCAGAAAGCCTCATCTTTCTCCCATGGAACAGCTGATAGTTTTGAACTGCTGACCTTGCAGTTTGCAGCCCGATTCGTAACCACTACACTACTAGAGTTCCGTACATATGATGATATTTTTTTTAATGTTTATCATTTAGAGTACTCAAATCGTTTTAAATCATGAGCAAGGATAAGTGTAAGTTTATACATTTATGTATTTCATATACCACAAATGTTGTTCTTCAGTGCCATGGAGTCTGTTCCTGCTGAGATCAACTCTGAACAGGGTTTCTGAGAAGCAAGTGAGTTTGAACTGATAACCTTGCAGTTAGCAGTCTAGTGCTTATCCTTCAGCACCATAACTGGACTCCATAGCACAAGTATGTGTATATAATAAAAAAATTCTAAAACACTTTCTTTCTCATCCCTCTCCTTTCAAAATTATGGCTCTTCTATGGCCCTTAGTAAGATCTAGTACCTGAATTGTCTTAGTTGGTAAGCTAATGTAACCTTTTTGTGGGGAAAAAAATGTAAATAAATACAACATTTGACAGCTGTTTTAGATCAGTAAGTGGGATCGATAAATGTAAGATTGTTGTAATGGATTTTACAATGAATCTTAAGTATTTTAAATAAACGTAAGCTTAACTGTCTCATTCACCCCTTACTTCTTTAAATCCTCTTGTTTTATCCTGGCAGGCTCTGATCCAATGTGAGCAGTTGAAGAATGAGCTGGAGAGGCAGTCAGAGCGACTTGAAAAAGAACTTGTATCTCAGCAAGAGAAAAGGGCCTCTGAGAAGGAGATGATGAAAAAAGAAATAACTAAGGAGAGAGAGGACCTAGAAACAAAGGTACCGAAGGACCCAGTTTGTTACTTACATTGCTTAAGGTACATTTTTGGTGATGGCCTTGATGATTCTGTATGCTGCAGTTCTTGATTGAGCTTTAAGTTTTAAAACTTTAAGCAGTCATTTAAAAAAATAATTTAGACTTCGTAACTATTTTCTATTTTCTGTGCATTTCTCACTAAAACTCTTGTTTTCTGACCTTTTCAAACAAAATAATTAAATTCAATGCTATATAATTATGAACTTGACTTTTGTCTTTCTATTCTGTTTGCTTTTCTTGGTCATGGTTTGGCAGAGGAGAGCAAGTACTCTGTAGATGCCCAAATTTTGTTTCAACCTTGGCTAAATCAGAAAGCTATTATCCTCCATACCTCATCTAAGGATCTCTGCTATCATAGTGGTTATGAGTCAGGTTACTAACCTCAAGGTCAGCAGTTCAAAATTACCACCTGTTCCATGGGAGAAAGATGAGGCTTTGTGCTCCCGTAAAGATTTACAGCCTCAGAAACCCTGTACAGGGTCGCTATGAGTCGGAAACAACTCCATAACACATAACCACCACCACCATCATACCTCATCTACCACTTATAAAGTAAACCTGCAGAACATAACACATTTTTTAAGGATGGAGTCACCAAGAGAAAGTGATTATATACACAGTAGGAAATAGGTTTTTCCCCTCCTATTTCTTTGATTATGAAAGTAATCATATTAATTTTAAGTTATTATGTATATTTTAACAAAGTACACAATGGAAAAATGATAATAACTAAATTAACTGGAAGGGAGAGATTAAAGAGAAAAGGAACAGAGGACTTGGAATGCAGTGTCTGAAAGCAGTAAATTGGGATACAACATTGACTGGAACCTAGCTTTACAAATGCTGACAATAGAGTAAAATTGAGCATGAAGTTATCAAAATAACTGTTATATAAGGTTTTGTTTCTTTTCCCAAGTGAATTCATGAATCTAAGAACTAGAATTCAGACTACCATGGACAAATGCAGGATCAAGAGAGAGAGCTTTGCCAGAACCTTAGTTTATATCATAGATCTAGGTTATACCACTAAGGAAACTCTTCTTTCAACTGATTAGCTACTCACAGTAGATCACAAAATGGGACATGATAACACAGTGTCTGCCAAACCACTGAGAATCACAACCTAACCAAGTTGACATCAACCATCACAACTGTAAACTCTCTTGTCTTCATGTTCTCTTTTAAATTATGCTGTGGTTCAGTCTAATTACCTTCTGTACCCTGGATTAGTAATCGTGGCTAGTGAAAATCCAATGACCTTGTTGATGGCACCCCTGTACACTCATGGTCTTCAGTGTCAAAGGTTTTTAGTGCTTTGTCTACCAGTCCTCCTTTATGCACCTTTCTCCCCTATTCATTCAGTAAATAGTTATTGAACATCTCTTATGTTCCAGGGCCTGGGAATATGGTAGTCACAATACCCATGGAATTCCCTCATGAAGCTTTGAGATTAGAGGGAGAGGTAGATATTGAATAATGCTTCTATAAATGAGTTTTAATTATCATTGTGTTTAATATATGAAGGGATAGTAAAGGCACTGTGAGAATGTTTAGCAAAGGAATCTGACCAAGAGATAATGAAAGAGTTTCCTAAGAAAGGGATTTTAAACATGGGAATTGAAGTGAGGTGAGTAGAAGTTGACAAACGAGATGTTGAAGGAAGTTTCAGGCCCAGGAGAACAACACTCCCAAGAATCTGAAGCTAGACGTATAATACTTCCTAGGAACTTAAAGACTAACTCTAAATGGCTGGAGCATAGGGAGAGACGGACAGAGTAGACGAAGATTCATTTGGAGAAATATGCAGGAGCCAAATCCTGAAGACCTTAAAAGCCATGTTGAGGATTTAAAAGTTTATTTAAAAAGCAATGGGACTCATTGAATGACTTTAAGTTGGGCAGTAACATGATAACATTTATATTTGAGAAAAAAATTATCCTATTGCTAATAGATTGGAGGGGAACCAGGACACATGCTTGAAGATCATGTCAGAGATAATTTTTTTCTTCAGTTCTTTCATTTTAGAAATGCTGAATGTGTTCTTGTCTTTTGATTTTCTAACACCTTTTCTTTACATATTTCATTATAATACTTTGTATTCTTGAGCTGTACTTTGAAATTTTCTATTCAGGTTGATTACGTCACCATTTCTTACTCCTTGTCTTTGCATATTTCATTATAATACTTTGTCTTCTTGAGTTACACTTTGAAATTTTCTATTCAGCTTAATTACTTCACCATTTCTTCCATTCAGTTTCATTGTTTCTTTTGGTCTTCATTTTGGACTTTTTTTCCCCCTGTCTTTTTAATAATCTTTTTTCTGTCCTTCATGTTATGATGTTCTTAGTGTTAGCTCACAATGTACCTGGTCTTGGGTCATGAGTGTTCAGTAGGTCAAAGCTGTCCTTGAGATGGTCTCTAACTTCAGGTAGGATATACCTTAAGTTAAGGTACTCTAGTAGCATAGTGGTTACGAGCTGGGCTGCTAACCTCAAGGTCAGCAGTTCCAAAATACTAGCCATTCTGCAGGAGAAAGTTAAGACTGTCTTCTCCAGTATAGAGTTACAGCCTTGGAAACCCTATGCAGGGTCGCTATAATTCGGAACCAACTCCACAGCATGTCACCACACCACCACCATACTTAAGGTTGTATTTTGGCTCTTATGGACTTGTCTTAATTTTCTTCAGCTTCACTCTGAACTTATATAAGGGCAATTGAAGGTCTGTTCCACATTCAGCCCCTGGTCTTGTTTTGGCTGATGATATTGAGCTTCTCCATTATATATTCCCACAGATGTAGTCCATTTAATTCCTGTGTGTTCCATCTGGTGAGACCCACATGTATAGTCACTGTTTTATGTTGTTAGAAAAAAAGAAGGTATTTGCAATGAAGAGCTGTTGGTCTTGCAAAATTCAATAATGTGATCTCGAGCTTCATTTCTATCACCAAGGCTATGTTTTCCAATTACTGATGCTTTGTCTTTGGTTCTAACTTTGCATTCCAATCACCAATAATTATCAATGCTTCTTGATTGCATCTTTGATCAATTTTAGAAGTTGGTAGAATTCTTCTATTTCTTCTTTGTTGACTTTAGTGGTTGTTGTGTAAATTTGAGTAATAGTTGTATTGACTGATTTTTATTGTAGGTATATAGATATTATCCTATCACATACAGCATTGTAACTCAAGATGGATCTTAAAATATTCTTTTTAACAATGAATGTAACACCATTCCTCTTCCATTTATCATTCTTGGCATAGTAAACTCTATGATTGTCTGATTCACAGTGTCCAATACCAGTCATTGTTGTTGTTGTTGTTAAGTGCCATCGAGTCGGTTCCGACCCATAGCGACCCTGTACAGGGTTTCTGAGGGTGTAAATCTTTATGGGAGTAGAAAGCCTCATCTTTCTCCCGCGGTGCTGCTGGTAGTTTCGAACCGCTGACCTTAAGGTTCGCAGCCCGATTCGTAACCACTACGCTACCAAAGACACAAATGCCTAGGATGTTTGCAGCCATTTCTTCTCATTTTGAGGCATGCGCCATCAGTTAATTGAAGGTCCCAAAAGCTTTGCTCCATCCATGACTTTGCTTTGAGGAGACATCTCTTCCCCATTTGTATTTTGAATGGCTTCCAAATTAAGTGAGTCATCTTCTGGTACTATATCATTTTCTACTGTTATTCATAAGATTTTTTATGACTTATCCCTGAAGCAAATTGCCTAGTCCTTCTTCTTAGTCTGTCTTCATCTGGAAGCTCCAGTGAAACCTGTCCAGCCGTTGACCCTTCTGGTATTTGAAATACCAGTGGGTGGAATAGCTTCACAGAAACACACAAGTCACCACAGTGTGAGAAACCGACAGACCAATGGTAGATCTTGCTGAATGTTGTTGTTAGGTACCATCGAGTCGGTACCAACTCATAGCAATCCTATTCACAACAGAACAAAACAGTGCCCTGTCATGGGCCAACCACACCATCATTGCTATGCCTGAGCCCACTGCTGCTGCCACTGTACCAATCCATCTCATTGGGGGTCTTCCTCTTTTTCCCTGACCCTCCACTTTACAGAACAGGATATCCTTCTCCAGGCACTGGTCCCTCCTGACAATATGTCTGAAGTATGAGAGACAAAGTCTGGCCATCCTGACTTCCAGGGAGCATTCTGGCTGTATTTCTTCCAACACAGGTTGGTTTGTCCATGGTACTAGCTGAATGTTGTTGTTGTTACGTGCCGTAGTGTCAGTTCCGACCCACAGCGACCCCGTACAGGGTTTCCAAGGCTGAAAATCTTTACGGGAGCAGAAAGCCTCATCTTTCTCCTGCAGAGCAGCTGGTAGCTTCGAACTGCTGACCTTAATGTTCGCAGCCCGATTCATAACCACTACGCTACCAGAGCTCAGCCTTCCTTTTTACTTCCTATCAGTAATTCCCCATCAGCATATTTTTACAGAGTACTATTACCATGTAATTTAAGGAGCTCTGGTAGCGTAGTGGTTACGAATTAGGCTGCGAGCCTCAAGGTTAGCAGTTCGAAACTACCAGTGGTTCTGTGGGAGAAAGATGAGGTGGTCTGCTCCCGTAAAGATTTACAGCCTCGGAAACCCTGTGTAGGGTCACTATGAGTCGGAACCGACTCCACGGCACACAACATTACCATGTAATAGTACTCGGTAAAAATATGCTGGTGGGGAATTACTGATACAAAGTAAAAAGGAAGGCTGAAATAATGACTTCATGAGTAAAGGTGGCAACAGAACTATAATGTAAGAGTCTTTAAAATTTGTTTTGCCCACTCTTAACCCTTAATAAATATGAAAGCAAAGAAATACACTCTCACCAGGAAATGGCAAGAGCTTAGAAGTAGTGGATGTAGTGGGAAAAAAGTGGCTTTGGAATAAAAGGATTTAGAATTGCATACAAAATTGACCTTTCTGTGACCTTGAAAAACTTCCCTTAAC